GGTAGATGGGTGGCCTGTTTCATGGTTGAATAGTAACCTTGTGTAAACACCCAACGAGAACACAGGAAGCTTGCTTATGTTGAAAATGGCAAATTACGTTTCTGGAAACAGAACAGCCTAATGAATTTCAATCTGGACCGAAAATATGTCAGTATGCAATAAGTTTGTAGATATTTGGAACTGTCAGATATGTCATTAAGCAAAACTATATGAACGCTTTGAGGTCATTTATCAGCAAGTACAGATGATAGAAAATTCTGAAGAAAAATGTCTCCACGCTGATATTAATTAAATCTCTAAGCTTAATAACGTTATGGTAAGAAGAAAATTCTCAGAATCAAGTTTGTCTAATGCAGAGAACGTGTTCATGTACGATAGTATTAGCAAAAATGTCGTCGTCCTACTAAAACCTGTTAATACTACAACTAGTTTATTGTAGAGATTAATCTTGAACATATGCTTAATTATTGTACCTTTTGCCAGACAATGTTAATATTAGTAAATATTTTATTCCCTCTACTACTCTATGGTGACAAGAAACATTTCTGTCGTGCAGAATTCGAACCTCACAGTGTGCTGGAGTACGCTAATGTTAGTAAATATTTACTGGACCTATGTAGGCTCCAAGATTTTGGCCTGGTCACAGACTTAATATTAATAAATTGTTATCACTAGTATAATAGGATGATGACAAGCTTTTCTAATTAGGAGAATACGATCCTCCCGCTGGACTCACTGCGCCTTAGGGCCTTTAGAATCCCCTATGGATTAAAGTGCCAATGCCTCACTGGGGTTTCTGTAGTAACTAACTTATTGCATGGCGGATTAGCGAGCCTCACGCCCTATGTTCTTTGAATTCAGTGTTGTTCTCCTAGACTGATTGTCAACTCAGTCTATTTGAGACATGCGCAAAATGATAAGGGACAGTTTCATATTTTCCAAAGCGTATTTGGACGAAGTTGAAGACAATGAATCCCGTCTTTTACGTAGGAAACAGGCTCTGTTTGGACACGTCGATGGGAACGCCACTCTGACCAAATCATTAAGCAAGGCGCAGTTGATGAAGGATGGAGACGAATATAATAAAAAAAGAAATGACTTGAAAAATCAAGAACTGGACAGAGAATACTTACTCGGATTTTTGTCCCTACAGCTAGCCAACACGACAGTTTGCAAGTCGTTTGTCGCTGCAAAGTTTATGACCCGCCTCTACGACGAATCTCAAGTTGATTGAAAGATTGCCGACGATTATGACGTATAATTCAATGTGTCATAATCTTGTCATTATTCTGATGTTAATGTAAAAAATATAATAATTTATGGTGGCGAGATTGTTCTTCTAATATTAAGGAAATTTTGAAGACAGATACATTATAGTCCTGGTTAAATGTTTATAAACTTCTGGCATGATCACGTGGCAAATATTAACATTCATCAATTATTACAAGACATTTTACCACTAAGTTTTCGTAAATATATACTGCAATTAAAACCAATATTACATCATTCATGTAAAAACTGTAATACTGACTAGCTAAAAATTTGTTCTAAGGAATAATTATTATATATTAAAAATGGGCAAATAATGTTGACTATCGGACATTCATTGGTTGCAAATTATAAAATTACACGAAGATGGGTAATAAACTCAATTCAAATAGGCTTCAGCAAGACCCAGTTCGCAATATTATCGCTGAGTAGCATACTGAATGGGACGTTTCTGATAATGATCCCGAGAGAGGATCGTACCATCAAATCCTTCGTTCCACGAACTCCAAGTAACCGAAAAACAAAAATAAAACTTGATCTGTTTCTCAGGGATACGGATAAGATTCTTAGGTCTCTTTTCTGGCAGATTGTGCCATGAATTTCATCTAAGATCCTTAAAACCTGTCCGGAATCTTATATTGACTCAGAAAATGAAAAAGAAACATCTGACATTCGCAAAAAGCATCAATATTAGACAGATGAACAATCAGTATACGTTAGGTTCCCTTATGAATCCACACTTTATCAGATTGTTTCTCGTCAGCATTATTCCAGAAGGTCTCAAGGAAAGAGATAAGATGAAAAATATACCATACAATATATGAAACACCCTCCCAGTCAGATGATTTAGATCGCAATTCCGAAGTTTAGATAATAGAAACAGTAACATCATATTATAATTCTTCGTATTTATTACCTCGCACATTCGTTACACGTTGTCATTACCTCAGAAAAATAATGGAGCATATTCTTTTGATCGGTTGATTCATTTTCTACGGTTTATAAACCCTTTGCAGGATATTCAAAATCAGAAACTCTTTTTAAATTGTAAAAAAAATTTGGATATAATCATAGTTTAGTTATACATAGCTAAAGAGAGAAAAAATGTATTCATCTTAGTCCCAAGTGTATATGCGCGTAGATGAATATAACAGACCCATCGAGAATTGGAACTCGGCTCCTCACTTATCTATTGAGTTATTATTCATTACACCACCTGGACATCAAAATTTACAGTACTTAGTATTCTAAAGCGGTCAACCGTCTAGGTACTAACCAGGCTCGACGTTGCTTAACTTTGCCGATCATACGGGAACTGGTGTTTTAACGTGATGTAAGTCCAAGACGGTTTGGTCACAAGATGAAAGAAAATGCAATCTGAGAGAGGCTCTTCTGTTTTGGTGAGGAAAAAGTAAGCATATATAACAAGAAGAAAAAAACGCAAAAGAGAGAAAGAAGAAATGGAACATGGAACAATCATTATAGCTGTCATAGGATGATAATGATTCAGTGAAATACAAACCTGAAATTTAGTTGTTTTTTTTTTTAATTTGCACCGCATGATTACTTTAAATAATGACTTGCGTTCATAATTATTTTTGTTATTGTAATATTATTGTTAAGCTCAAATATTTAAAAATGCAACAGTAGAATTTCCGTGGAGAATATATAGCCATGGAATGCATTGACTCTTTAAATTAAAAAAAAATATGACTAATTAAAAAATTCAAAATCTGGGACAAAATGACATTTACCCGGATGTTCCAAGCAGCCAATATCATTTGGACAATTTCAATATATTTCTTTTATTTTTACGCAACGTTTCAGTTGATCCAGCCTTCATCAGAAATAATAAATAGGAAAATTTATTTCCCATTTTTTTCTTAATGAAAAAGTATTCATTTATTTCTGACGAAATACCGTCCTGGGTATAGCGATAAACTACATTCACGTTCTTGTTAAGACGATAAACTACGTCCGACAGCAAGGCCTCTAATCAGAACGTTTTGACGAGCGTGGAACTACCTCTTAATTGCTGTTGTTCCCAGGTCTACTCAGACCCGGGTTGGTAGCAACCCCTTAGGGTTCACAGCTATGGGCAAATAGTTAACTCCCATACTAGGGTCAAAACATTATGAAAGAGTAAATATAGGTGTTATTACCAGAAATACTTTTTTTTTCTAAAAAATCATTACCAGCTGTAAATTATTGAAGAAGAAATTATTACCAGCAATACATTTTTGGAAAAAATAATACCAGCAATACATTTTTGAAAAAATATTACCAGCAATAGATTTTTGAAAAAAAAAATTATTAACAGCAATCAATTTTTGGAGAAAAAAATATTACCAGCAACAGATTTTTCAAGAAAAAATATTATCAGCAATACATTTTTGAAAAAATATTACTAGCAAGACATTTTTGGAAAAAAAATATTACCAGCAATACATTTTTGAAAACAAATATTAGCAGCAATAAAAATTTTGTCGGCATTAAATAACATATTGAGTTTGATATGCTGTAAAACAAACCAAACCCGACGAAATAAACCTTTATTAGGGCTGATAAACTGATAGACCGAATGTTGCTTTCGAAATAAACTAAAAACGGTTTTGCCTTTTCGAAAAAAACATTAACTATTATTTTTAGATGGTAAACAAATATTTGGATATGTTTTACAATGTATTGCAGGCGTTAATCACTAAACCCACGCGCGTCTGCTACTTTGGAATAACGTATAAGAGGAGAAATTGGAAATGATGACAGTGTATCAATACTTTAAAGGTCTGTCTGCAATCTTAGTTGAGGAATACTGACTGGATTAAGAAATGGCTTTCTTCTAGCTGCTCTGCTATGAGAAGCCATATTAGAAAGATAACATACTGTAGTCGTTACATTGATTTCGAAACATCTTGCCATATATGTCGTCTTGGAATCGTGTTTTCTTTCAAGTTTCTTATTTCATCGTTTATATTAATATGAAAACTTAACAAATATGGAAAAAGTTGGACGGCAAATTCTAAAATCAATCAAACATGGCCGACCGCTTTCGGAATCAGAGAGTTCTAAACTTCTTTAATAGTCTGCATTGTCTGTGCTTCGTTAGCACTACATATGCTTTTAATTACAGAATAGCCTTTTTCTTAGACTGGTTACCATCCAAGACTGAAGAGTAAAGTCTGCCCTATTATTTAACTCATAGTAAAGTTGGTTGGATTCATGGGTGCATACATACCCCCTTGGTATTTGTACGAAAGTAATTGTAGGGAAACTCGACTGGAATGCGAACTGGGCTCTCCGAATTTATCGTTTCGAGCCGCTAAGTATTTCACCACCTGCACATCTGTGAGAGATATTAAAAATAACTATATAAATATTTTCACATTGCTATGGTAAGTCTTTCAAAAACAGAAAAACATTATATAGCAGAAACCTAGATAACCTTTGTATACTTCCAAATGGTAATGGCAATGATGAAATTCGATGTTTTATTATAAGGAAACTTTTATGATGTCTTAATTTGACTCGTTGTAACTTTCGTTAGGTCAACGAAGTCTTGTTATCACTTCCAAAATGCTCGTTGTAGACGAGACTTTGTAACGCAAGTACTGGTACTCGTAACGCCTTCAAATAATGCTCGCACTAATAATACTTATCCAAATACTAATCGCCGAATAGTAATTCGTATAATGATCAGTATAGAGAAATAGTATAGTGGTAGTATAGAGAATATCGATCACTTAGACATCACTCTAATTCCCACTCATAAGATCACGTGATGTACTTATTTAATAATGGAATCGTCCTTGTTTGTCACTGGTAACCTGTGTTCAAACTACGGCGTCGGCAGTGACACTTTATTCATATACAGCACAAACATTCAGCATTTATTGACCAAAACTTTAGCGTTACAGACGGTTGAAATTTATAAAATATTTATCATAAAAGATTTTTTTCATGAAATTAGACTTTTCAAGTCCAATAACTCTTTTTGATATTTCTGATATTCACAGGGCATTCCTTCCTAACGTTTTCTTTAATAGAAATCCAGTATCATGATTAGATCATTATTTCCCCATCTACACTGTTTTGATATTGATATTTGAAGTCTTCAAGTGACATTGATTCTGTTATTTGGTAATCCTTCTTGTGATTCTGTAGCGCCAGCGTGTAGTGTCTTATGAAGGATTAGCTTCTTGAAGACCGAAAAGATTTACTCATTTGGAGCCATATTTAAACAGAAAAATGATTGTTGATATTTTATTTAAGCTAATTAGAAACTAGAAATTAGAAATTATTTTTTTTACTTTCTCTCACGGCCGTGTAACCAGTATTAAATCAATTTTATTAGTTTTTAAATAATCGAAAAGAACTATAAAAATTAGCCACATATTTTTTAAAATGCCCACAAAGAAGGAGGATAAATAAATCCGTGAATATTGTTATTCATATTTTCTGATAAATAAATCCATGAACGCGTTGAAATCTTTCCAGCATACAATGAACCAATTGTAATCTTTCCCCGCCGTTTTCGAAAGAGGAAAAATGATGGCGTCGTAGATTTTAAGCCGTTTTCAAGATAGTAAAATCACACGAAAGAGATAAAGGAATCATTGATTAAACTGTAATCTTGGAGAAAGAAATGAACAAACAAAGGAAGCATAGAGACACAAAAAGATGCTGGCTGGAAAACCAAAAGATAAAATACATGCACAGTACAAGGAATAAAAAGAAAATAAAAAGGAAAAAAAAGGAAACCAGATCTTATTTCTTTGGACTATCAATTTGCGAATTCTTGGAAAGTCTTCCTTCGTTTGTTCCTTTTGGTTTTCTTTGTTTATTTCTGTTTCTTCATCCTATTTCCCATCCTTGTCTCATCCTCCTTCAATCGCCTTCTCTCTTTTTCGTAAAAATCTTTCAAAGATGTCTTTTCCATTCTCAAATAACGTTCCTCTTTTTTTCTCTTCTATTAGTTGTTTTTTCTTCTGTAAAGGTACCCCTGCTTCTCACCTGTTTTTAGTTGTTTCCTTCGTCTACGCTGGTTATCTTCTTTTCTTCATTCTTACCTATCTCTCGAGAAAAAAAAGAAACAACTAAATGCGTGATAAAAAAAAAGAAGAGGACTCAAACGCATCTGGCATCTTGTTTTCGATTGGTAGCTTTCAGCGGAGTCGGAGGAAAATCGATAAGATCAATATACAATAAAAAAAAAAACAGCAAAAGATAAACGGCAAACAGTATTAGAAACGATAAACCGTGGAAAGGACAAAATGACACCTTTCTATCTTGAGAACAATTGGAAGGAGTAAATTTCTTTCATTTCTGAAGATTCGAGGGCAACGTCAATGGCATCATGAAATATTAGACTGTTCATCAAAACATATAACGAGCAATTTTTCAAATTATCAAGCTCGACCGAATTCAGTCACATAAACATCGACTTCCGATAATGTTATATAGGAATAAACTGTCGCTGCCGACACTGGAGTTTGAACACAGATGCCATTTTGAATAAGTAGATCACGTGATGTTAAAGTAATGTATATATGAAAATTAGCGTGGCGTGTAAGTGATCAGTATACGGATTACTATTCGAATCATTGTTCGGTGGTTACTATTCGAGCGAGTATTATCGAGCAAGTATTATGAGTGCGGTCATTATTCGCAGGTGTCTGACACCATTATTATTCAACGGCTTTAATACAGTTGTATCTGCGATTACAAAGTCTCTACTACAACGTGCATTACGAAAGTGACAACGGGTATTCGTTGTCATTACAAAAGCTAATAAAGACCACTCCTTGAAATCACCTCAAAGCAGAATAAATTAAACAAGACTTACAATTTTATCACTTTTCTGATTTCACAAGTCACGATGAATTGATATCCCCTGAGGGAGGCTCCTTGCCTTGAGCGACTATTAAGCCTTAAACGCAACTATTTCTTTAATTGAAATACGGATATACGATCCCTCGCTGAAGACACTTGGAAAATAGTCGTTTCCTTCTACTGCTCCAGTGAGTACCTGCTCTCTCGTGCTATCCACTAAATGTACAAGAGCCGGATGATGCCTAAAACTAAATACGACTGTCAGATTTGGGTAGGAGCATTTGGGTAGGGTCCTCATTTTCTAGACACGATCGCGCCTGAAAACGTCTCCGTATCCTTTTGGATGACAATTTTTTTTCTCCACCTAACATCCCCTCTCTAACCTGGAAAGAACTCAGACGCATTACATTCTTTACTTTAATTAATAGTTAGTTAATATTTGCGGCTAGGACTCGCCATGTTACATGCATTGTAGTGAACCACTCTCATTTCATCCGTATTTCACTCCAACAACTTCTTCCCGAAA